CTGAGGTATCATTAAAAAAAGGAAAAAAATAATAAAGTTTGCCAGCTATCGGTATACTATATCCCCAAATATGTAGCATGCATACCATCAGCTAGAATTTAATATTTGTTTAGGGTTCTTTTTCTTCTTCTCAGATAAAATTTACATTGTTTTTGTTTGTTTGTTTGTTTGTTTGAGACAAGGTCTCATGTAGTTCAGACTGGCCTTGAACTCACTATGTGGCTCAGGCTGGCTTCAAATTCGTGGCAATCCTCTTGCCTCAGTCTTCTGAGTGTTGGGCTTACAGGTAGATGGCACCACACCTGGCCAAATTTACGTTTAAGGAAAAGAACAATCTTAACTGTCATTTGATAGCATTAGACAAGTGGGTACAGGTTTGCTAGCCAAAGCATTGTGAAGACATAACCTATGTCACTGCCTCAGAAAGTGCCCTCACACCTTTCCCAGTTGGTCCCCTACCGCCCGGCTCCACTGGCTAACCGGCTTTGGCTGTTCTGGAATTTCACGTAAGTACCCTCAGTTAGCATGTACTCTTTGGTTTAGACTCATTTAATTTCAGGATCATGTTTTATAGATTTTCCTACAATGCTTATTTCCTGTTGCTGTTGTAACAATTTCCTTTTAATACTCCACGCTTGCAGTACACAGCGCTCCCATTCCTTGTATAGTGTTGGTCATGTGCTCAGCACACTTTAATTCCTGCGTTCACCCCATCCTTCCCCGCCCTCCATCTCTTAGTTCGCTTCCCCTTTGAGAAAGGCCTGTCTTCCTACTTCCTACTGCTTATCTTTTATTTTACTCTTCATTTACAGTTTGGGTTTCTCATACCAGAGAAACCACCGAATTTCAGTTTGTGTGTATGATTTATTTTACTTAGCATGATGGTCTCACAGTGCATCCATTTTTGTACAAATGACTGAAGTCTATCTTTTCTTTATGGCAAAGTAGTACTCCACTGTGTGTAAATACCACATGTTCTTCACCCATTCGTGTGCCGATGGACATATAGGTTGCTTCCAGAATACAGCTATTGTGAATTGCGCTGCTCTCAGCATGCAGACACATGTAGCACTGTGATACGACGTCTTGAACTTTTTTGGGAAGATATTTAGAAGGGAAATAGCTGGTCAAATGGAATTCCTACTTTCACCGTTTTGAGGAATCTCCACAGTGATTTCCACAGTGATTGTATCAGCTTACATCCTCAGCAACAATGGAGAAGTGTGTCTGCCCCTCTCAGCCCCTCCAGTATTTATTATTGTTTGATTTCTCGATGATGACCATTCTTTCTGGGGGGAGATGAAATCTCAGTGTTGTTTTAATTTGCATTTTTTTAATGGCCAAAAGATGCTGAGCATTTTTTCAATGATTTATTGGCTATTTTTACTTCTTCTGTGAAGTCTGTATTCATTTTACTCCCTTCCCCCCTTTTTTTTTGGTACTGGGAATCGAACTCAGGACCTCACACTTGCCAGGCAGGCGCTGTGCTGCTGAGCTATGTCCTCAGGCCCAACTTCCCCATTTTGTGATTGGGTTTTTTATTTTGGGGGGTTCTAGTTTCTTGAGTTCTTTATATATTCTAGGTATTAGTCCTCTGTCTGCGGAATAGCTGACATTTTTTTCTCATTCTCTAGGTTGTCTTCTCACTCTATTGGCTGCTTCTTTTGCTGTGCATAAGTTTTTAACTTGATACCGTCCTATTTACTGATCTGGGTACAATTTCTTGTCTAGGATTCTGTTCAGTTTTTGCCTACATCTATGACATCAAGAGATTGACCTATTTTATCTCCTAGCAAGTTAAGCGTTTCTGTTTTAACATTTAGTTCTTTGATCCACTTAGATTCTAGTTTAGTGCATGGTGAGAGATACCGGTCTAGATTCAATCTTCTGCATGTGGGAAGCCAGTTTTCCCAGCACCATTTATTAAAGAGGCTGTCTTTCCTGCTGTGTACAATTTTGGATCCTTTGTCAAAGATCACACAGTTAAATGTGCTTGGTGATTTTCCCTCACCCTTTATTATGTTCTATTGATCCTCATGTCTGTTTTTGTGTCAGCACCATTCTTAGCTTAGAAAACTGTGCAAGTTTTTGCTTTAAGGACAATTTAAAATTAGCATTCTTGCAGTTTTATATGTATTTTATTATTTTGTTTTATTTGCAATGCTAGGTATAGTTTTATTTTTGATAACTCTTACCTGCTTGTTTTCCAAATTCAACTTTTTTTTTTTTCTTTGCAATGCTGGGGATTGAACCCAGGGCCTTCACACTGAGCTAAATCTGCACCCCTTTTTAAAATTTTAACATTTGAGGCCAGGTGTTGTGGTACATGCCTATAAACCCAGCATTCAGGAGGCTGAGGTAGGAGGATAGGTGAAAGTTCAAGTTAAGCCTGGGCTACATAGTAAGTTCAAGACCACCCTGAACTGTATAGCAAGACCCTGTCTCAAATAACAAAACGAAATTTTTAATTTGAGACAGCGTCCTGCTAAGTCACTAAATTGCCTACACTGAGCTCAAACTTGCATCCCCTTGCCTCAAACTCCCAGAATTCTGGGATTACAGGCATGTGCAAATATCTGGCCCAAATAAACCAATACTTATTTTAGTCCTAATTCATACAAACGTAGTATTTCCCCTTTACAACTTTCTGTTATAAAAATTTAAACTAAAATAAAAATTTTCAACCAAAAAGTTTATATTGATAGCAAAATGTAATTCATTACATACATTTATAATATTGATTTTAAAGTGTCTTTTATTTCAATAAAGCAGTAGAAATGAGCAGTACAGTTATCCCAGCTATTCTTGTATGTGCATATATGTATTTTTCCCTTCCTTCTTTCTTTTTTTTTTCTCCTTTCCCTCATCCCAGTTGTTCCTTCCCTTTGAGGAATTTCTTTCCGTTTCACAATATCCATTGTACCCTTAGAATTTTATTTACTCTTTCAGATTCTTACAGTAGGAGTACAATATAGCATTTACACATGTGGGTCTGATTTATTTCACTTATGAGTATGGTCTCTAGTTGCATCCATTTACCTATAAAAGTCTCAAGTTTATCTTTTTTAATAGATGAGTAATACTCCATTGTATACAAATACTACAAATACCACATCTTTTTTTTTTCCATTCCTCAGCTGATGGGCTTTGGATCATTTCCAAGATTCAGCTATGACAAACTGCACTGTTACATACATGGGTGCAGGCATATCGCTCTGGTATGATGTTTTCAGTTCTTCTGGAAAAATACCCAGAAGGCAAATAGCTGGGTTAAGCGGAACCTCTAATCCTAGTTTTTTGAGGATTCTCCAGACTGATCTCCACAGTGGCTGCACCAGTCTACACTCCCACCAACAGTGGAGAAGGGTTCCTTTTTCACCACAGTCCTTCCAGTAATTGTTATTGGTTGATTTCTTGATGGTAGCCCTTTTTTAAAACCAATTTTGCATGCTTATATCTGGTAGTATGGACAGCTAATTTGAAGACAACAATATGCAGCATAACAACCACTGCTGAATTCCTATCATCTTGTTGCATGAAATTCTGTATCGCTTCTAATGTTTTTATTATTTTTTATTCTCTTAAAAAATAAAATGTCAAATCTATCCACACAAAGAAAATGTCCTTTGTTTCACAACATTCCAATTTTTCTAAAGATGATGAGGCTCTACTATTGGACTTTCACTAATGTTGCACATCACAAGCAAATAATGGTTGAGTCTGAGGTACTAGAAGAGTGTAAGCAAGAAACTAAACCAAACAACCAACAGAGCAAAGCAGAAGGCTACCGGTGTAGCTCAGTGCGGCCCTTCTATCGCAGTAGTGAAAAAAATAAAAAAAGAATAAGAAAAACAAAACCAGGCTGTATTCAATGGAACTACCCTTCTAATATTTTACATATGATTGATAGACAGACAGATAGAGAAAACCCCAAACTTCCAGTATTTGCTTTGTTTTGCCAACAGCCAAATCTTTTTCTCTCTTTTTTTTTGGTCCTTTTTTAAGGCAGGGTCTCGCTATGCAGTTCAGGCTGGCCTCGAGCTCACTTTGTAGCCCAGGCTGGTTTCAAACTTGCAACGATCTTCCTGTCTCAGCCTCCTGAGTGCTGAGATGACAGGCATGTACCACCTCGCCCCGCTAACTAAATCTTTTTTATGTTGTTTTGGGGTTTTCTGTTATTTTTTTTTTAAGACAGGGTCTAGCTATGTAGTCCAGGATGGCTTCAAACTCACTATGTAGCTCAGGCTGGCCTTGAACCTGTGGTGATCCCGTTGCCTCAGCCTCCTGAGTGTTGAGATTATAGGTGTGTGGTATCACACTCAGTTGCCAAAACTTATAGTGTCTTCTTTTTTTTTTTTTTTTTTTTCTGTAGTGCTAAGTGTGCAAGATCATTTAGGTTCAAGAATATTTTCTGGAAGCAATAGCTATTCTCTTCACTTTTTTTTTATTTTAATGATATGGAGAAAAGCGAAAAAAAGATGTAACCTGGCTAGATGAACTTCAACCAATCCTTATTTAATGATCATTTTTCTTTGTTTTCCTTTCTTTTGCCAAGTCTCCTTTTATTGCTCAAATTGGCCTCATCCTTATGGGCTCAAGGATCTTCTTGCTTCAGCCTCCCAATTTTCTGGGATGAGAAGGATGCACCATCACATCCAAAGGCATCAAGGTGCATAGACACTTCACCTTCCAGCTGTTTCATTACAAAGTACCATTGATGGGTCACAAAATAGGGTGGGATTCAAAATAGGAAGGTTAAGGAGACGAGAGCAGCGGAGAAGAGGATAGAAGTAGAGAAGGTGCTAGAAGTAGAAGTAGATAAGGTGCTAGATCTGGAGCTAAGGAGAAAACCCAGCTTAATTCTGGAAGAAAACATACATAGGATAGCACGCAAGGCAGAGTTGCTGTGGAGGCACATTCCAGGGAAATCTGAAGAGATTACTTTAATAATAAACCATGCATTCTTCAGCGAGCCATCGCAGGATTAACTACCCCTTTCCTAGTTTGCGAGCACAGTCCATTTTATTTATTTTTCCTTCTCTCTCACAGACAAGTTTTGCTTAAAGGACAACTGCCATGCAAGGACCATAGTTTCTCACACATTGCATTGAATTTTCTTTGCTTTAATTTTCTAAACATAAATTTTGGTGGTGACAAGAGAAAGCCGTGGCTTACGCAGATGAGCGTCTGTGTGGGCTTGGGTGAGTCTCCAGATGCAAGGGTGTTCACTCCGGACTCTGGGTAACCAAACAGCGCACACTTGACAGGAAGCAGCACCGCCCAGGACAGAAACAGTTAAATTTATTTTCATTCTTTCTTTTCTTCTTAATGTGAGCAGGACACTGAATTACTGCCAGAAGCAATATCAGCACCCTAGAGATATAAAAATATACTTCAAACCAGAATTTTCTGCTGTCAAGTCCTAGGATTTCTGTGTAAAAAAAGAAGTGTCCGTTTTAAGCTGTGCGTGCAAGCTCACGGCTCACAAACTGTTTCACCAAAGTCTTCTCTTCAAACTGCAGCTCATAGCAGATGGGATCATCCCCCCAGCCCCGCCTTTGAGACAAATCCCTTCCATTTGATGATGTACAACATAACATAACATTCCTTGGTAAGAGTCTTTGAATTTTAAAAAATAGATGTGGGTGGCCACTCCTTTTTTTTCTTCTGAGGTGTGTGCGTGTGTTGTTTGTTTGTTTGATTTTGCTTTGCCTTTTGCAGCTCTGGGGATGGAACCCCAGGGCCTTGTCCTTTTAGGCAGGAACCCTACCACTAGCTACCTCCTCCGCCAGGGTGCACACTTCTGAGAATGTATTGCATATTGGGTTCAAAGGGACCCATTGGTTTTGCATCATCAAAGCTCCTATTTGTCTGAAATCAGTTAGCACCATTGTTTTCCTATTTGGTCTTTAGAAGGGAACCATCTCTCTGGACTTGTAGATTTTAAAAATAAAGGGCTATGTCCTCACTACTACCAGAATTAAAATTCTCTGCCTAAATTTTATATGTACTTTCATAGGACTAAAATTTATATGCTTCTTGTCATTCACACGAAGTCATTTTTTTAATAATAGCAAATTACCTCAGAGCAGTATTGAAAACCGTCAGCACCACTCTGTGAAGCCCTGCACGCCCAGGTGTGGGGAGATGATGTCCACAGCAGGAGCAGCAGCGGACTCCAGCTCGCTGCTGCCCCTCGGCCGGCTCACTGGCTGCTCTTAGTCTGACCTACTTGCAAGCGGGGACTGCCACTCACATGGAGCTACCCCAAATTACACAGTGGCTTTGCAATCCGGGCTAGGCACCGACCGCAAAATACACCCTCGGTGTCCCATAAGGGGATTTGAACCCTCAGTTTTCAGCGGTAAAATGCAAAGCCATTGTGTTGCTTGTTCACTAAAATCAATGTCCCCCTCCCAGCCAAGTCACTATGTGGCATTTTCATATTTAGTGCATTCTGTCTCAGACTCAAAAAAAAAAAATTAAAAAAGGGAGACAGACATAGCTTTCGCAAGAACAATTTCATAATATTTACAAGCACCAGAGTTTCTAGGGATGTTATGATCCTGATATTTAAGGATGAAGAAAATGTGAATTCCTAGCTTATAAATGTTCCCTAAGATACGCTGCGCAGGACCCTCTGCTGAGGACATAAATATGTCAGACTTTTAGAATACTTTATCTCCCACATTTCATTTCTTACGAGAGGGTAGGAAACGCTATGGAAATCAGTGCAGATAAAGCCGTATGTCTGCGTGTGGATGTAGATACAGGGTAATACATGATCTTTCTTGTTAGATGTGTATCTCATTTAGATAGTCGATACAGATGTGAACGCATTTTGTTTATACCGATCTCAGAAAGAATACTGTCCTTGCATATGCATACACAGGATTAAATTTCCTGCACAAATAGGGGTACTTTTCATACGCACCCGTAGATTTCCGTGCCGTTTCGGTGCATGCACAGCCATCACTCACCTCCGGACCTAGCAGATGGGCGCCGGACCCGGCCGGCAGAAAGTGAGCGGTAAGGCGGCTCTGTGCGCGCCGGGCCCCGGGGTGGGGAAGCCTCTGCGCCACATCGCCCCGAGCGAGCGGCCGTGCGGGACGCTCGGGAGCCGCGGCCCGGCCCCCCCGGGGCCCCTTCCTGTCCTCGCGTGCACCGCGCCCGCCCCGCCTCGGGCCGGGCCCGCCCCCGGAGGCAGGAAGGAGTTAAGTTTGGGCGACTCGGCAGACGCGCCGAGGGGGAGTTGCCGGGCGCAGGCAGCGAAAACATCCCGGCCGCGCATTCCTGGGGCGCCCGGGCTGCCAGCCTCTGATTAGAACCGTGCCTCTCGCGGCGGCTACTTAAGCGGCGCGGCGTCATGCTCGGCCCGCGCCGGCGCTAGGAGCGGTGAGTACCCCGCGAGGGCCGCGCGCCGGGTTTCTTGCTCTTTCCTTTTGCGCCCCCCGCCCCCGCCGCTTCACGGTCGACTTGGGTGCAGACCTGGGGCTGCGGGAATCTTAGAAGTGAGACCGTGCCCCGGGACGCCAGCAGGTTTGCGTCCCGCGTGTGCGATGAGCCCACGGACCTTTGGGTCCTACTCCCGATGCCCATCTGTGACACTCAGCGAGCGCCTCCTTTGTGTGTGTGTGTGTGTGTGTGTGTGTGTGTGTGTGTAAAAGCGCCGTGGGGTGGCCCTGGTAGGACCCTAGGACTCTAGTGTGCCTGCTGACCGCTTAATTAACTCTTCGAAGCGTGTTTATTTTTGCCAAGCGACAAAGGCTGGGGACCCGGCTTGTGCCTAGGAGGAGCCTTTTGCTGGTGACGGACGTGTGGCATTAAAATGTGAACTTTGTCTTACACTAGCATTCCTAAGAAAGTATCAGTCCAAGGGACTTAACGAACTCGTTTTAGATCCCAGAAGTACTTGCTTGATTGCTGTTGACCGGTTGGAAAGATTAAGCATTGTAGAAAAGGGGGCAAAAAGAACGGGTTAAAATCTTGGAGCTCTCGTCAGCATAGCGGTTTGCATAGCATAGAGCTGACTGTGTTATTTGTTTCTGCTGTCTTTCCTTCCTAATTCCCAGCCTGGAATTCAGGTCCGTGGTCGGTTTGACCAGGGAACTGTTTGGCTCCAAAGAGAAATTTAACTCGGTTAAAAGCACTTAAAGAACCTGGGTGTCGTCTTCACCCTGTTACCCTTCCATCTTTGCCGCTTTCCCTTCACTTGGGCTTGGAAGGAAGAGAGTCTGTGTAAAGGGAGGAGAGCAGGAACCAGCTTCCAGGCAGATGGAAAGACTTAACAGCTATGGAGGGGCAACTTCATGCATAGTAAATGTTGCTAGTGCTCTATAAAGTGACTTAATGAAAAAATTTCTGGCCCAAATCAAGCGAAGTAGGAGGACGAAGGAGAAAAGGCTCAGGCAGAACTCAAACCGATGTAATTAATGGCAAAGAAGGCAGCAACAAAAATACCTTCTAGATCTCTGATAAGGCTTCTGGAATGGCTTTGATAGGATACCGAATTGATTTCTTTCTTGCCTTCCTTTCTTTTTTAGACAGGGTCTCTTTCTGTAGTTCAGGCTGGCCTCGAACTCAAAGCAGTCCTCCTGCTTCAGCTTCCCAAGTGCTGGGATTATAGGTACAGATTTGGGGTGCCATGACCTGCTAGTCTTGTAATACTGAGCTTAGTTCCCCACCTAAAGCATCTGTTGGTTTGTAGAGAAGAAGGAACTAGTCCAGGGTGGAGTTGACCCGCACCACTACCAAATGGCTGGCGGGCCACCATGTGACTTACCCTTGATTAGGCTGCCTTGCCGGAGGCTAGGTGTCCCACCCATCCCACAGCTTCTGTCTCTCCGCACAGAAAGCAGATAGGCCTGAAGGACACGATGAGCAAGTTTACTGCCCAGCTCTTGTAGGAGTATTTGAGATTTGAGCTCTATTGGAAGAAAGATCTATTGGGCCCAGTGGGGGGGGGGTATGTGCAGGAAACCAAGCCGCATTTCCTACAACTCGGAGAGCAAGAGCACAGTATAGCAAGTGTGTTAGAGAAGGTGTGAGGGGAACCCAAGGTCTTACTTCTTCCAGCTTCCTCATCAGTTTTTGCCTATCTGCATGAAGCCACCTGGACTCTTTTCCTTGTGAACAATTTCCTTGGTGAGTAACTTTCCTCTTCTCTTCTTAGTCAGAGCTATCCCTTCTTATCCAATGACTGCCCTAGAAACTAGTACAGTAAGCTACACTCTTACCTTTTATTGTGTGGCCAGAAGTAGGTGGCAGAGGAATGCTTGCCACTTTGAGTACTAGCAACAAGCATTTTCAATTTTGGTGACTTCTGACACAACACGCTTGATTTTCATCTGAGGACGTAACTGAGGGAAAGAAGGCACAACATTTTTAGAAAGCGCTGTCTGATTTGTGAACAAAATCCATACTTTGCCTTCCTATAGGGACTTTATGAGCACCTGCATTAAACTAAAATGCTGAATTCCGTGCATTGGACCTGTTTTTGTCTTGCTCCAAAGGTTGAGTAGATTTCCATTTTGTTGGGCTTGAAGGGCTCTGCTTTTAAGGCACTGCTGGCAGGAGGGTGGCACAGGGACCTTTGGAAGCTGCTGACCAGCTGGTCAGGGTGACATTTATTGGCCTGCTCAGCCATGCCTCAATTATCTGAAAACTGAGAGAACAGGAAAACATACGCTTTGTCCAGTGGCCCATGGCCAGTAGGAGGCTTTGTGAAGATTTGGGCTTGGCGGGGGACATGACTTGCTCTGTTTCATTTTTTATCCCTCCTCATACGTCTGTAAGCCTAAGTTTTCTGCTATGGTTGCTTTGACTTGAACGGCTTTGAAGGAAGGCCCGTGTGTTTCTTTTCGTCGTTATTTCAACCTGGAGATTTAATGATTACTTTTCTTAAAGACAAAGCTAAGGGGCTGAAATGCACAGGAAGCTACTGAAGCCCGGGCTCTCCAGGGGTCGTAGGTGCCCGAAGCTCCCCAGCACTCGAGTGTCCCTCTCTGGAGGTTTGCAGGGGAGCTGACCCGGGAGGTTTAGGTAACTGGCTAAACTCATCTGGCTTTCCAGCCCGCGCACAGAGCCAGGATGGGACCAGATTGGCAATACGAAGTACCTGAATAACAGGATGTGGCATTTTAAAATTCTCTCTGGCACTGCTGTGTAAGTCTAAAGTTGCAGCAGAGGCACTGAATGGCCCAGAGGCTGGCCACATCCATGTGAAAGAGCTTTAACATCCGATGTGTACGTTTCAGGGAAGCCTCAATTATGGTAAGGTGTACTGATGTTAACCACAGGGGTCAGAACAAAAGCAGGTTATCATATCCCCTCTTGGAGCTCAAAAACAGCCAAATTCCTGGCACGGAAAAAGATGATGCCCGGTGTGGATCTAAAGGGCTGCTGGCATCTCTGCTGGAAGCTGCCGCTCCGGGGGAGCGCTTGAAAGCCTGGGTGCGGAGGTCTTGTTCCTTGGTTCAAATCCCATCTACACAACTGCTGGTAAAATGACCGTGGGCACATTGCGTAACCTCTCTGCGTTCTTATCTGGAGAAGAACAATAGTATCTACCCTGAGGTTCCTGGGAAAAGAAGTTAATCTAAAGTGCTTAGAATATTCCTTCTGGTTTAGAAACATTTGCAAGCTGGTTTTTTTTGCCCCCTCAACCAGTGAATTATATGTCTTTGTGAAAACTGAAGGCAAATACAGAGTTTTCTCATCAAAATTGGATACCACCCACCTACCTGAAAAATGTTAATCATTCAAGCACTTAATGTTAACAAAGCTGGGGTGTTTGCTTGTCTTCACGCTAGAACAGCCCGGGAGTTACTCTGTGTTCTGGACCTGGCCGCCTGCTGTTTGGTTTTGGTCAAAATGACCTCTGGTCGCGTTTAAGTCTTCTGCACACTCTCTGAGACTCCCTGCAGAGAGGGAGCAAGCCTTCCCCTGAAGTCAGCATTCTAGCCGAGGAAGTGGGAAGGGGGGACCACCCGGGCTACACTGAGTGACTGGCCTAGACAGGAAAGTTCTTCCCGGCACACGCAGAGGCCCGGGCTATCCTTGCCCTCACAGCTCGGCAGCGTGCCACGACTACTCCCCTTCCCGCATCCTTCTGCGACCCTGGAAGGAAGCCTGCCTCTCCTACGGCCAGCAGAATCTCAGCAAATTGCTTCCTGGTCTAAAAATGGATGTTACTAAGTGAAGCACAATCTCCTTTCTCCTTACCATCACCCTTCCCCCATCCCTCTAACTCATTTTCATCACAGTACTTAACTTTCTAATCTTTGCTAGCCTTACCTTATGTAGACAGCAAACTATGAAGGCTTATAACATTTCATAAACATAAAGCTATTGCCTCAGTTTAGCAGGCTGGCAAGTTTTCTGTACTGTTGTAATTTACACAAACTAGCTGGAGGCAAGTGACCTTTAGCTGACGTAAGCTGGTAAGAATTCTGAGTAAAGGGGCAGGTTGAGTGACTGTTAAGTTGTAAGGAAGTTACCAGGAAGCAGAATGTCTGACAGCTACCACCTATATTTTCAGGTAACCATAAAGTAAAGAGAGAAGGGTGAAAACAGTTTGTTTTATTTAGTTACTTGGGTTTTTTTGAGACAGGGTCTCACTCTATAGTCCAGGCCTGCCTTGAAACCACTATGCAGTCCAGACTGGACTCGAACTCGCAGTGATCCTCCTGCCTCAGCCTCCTGAGTGCTGGGTTTACAGGCATGTACCACCAGGCCTGGCTGGAAGTAACAGTTATAGAAAGTTGAGTTTAAAATATTGTTCAGTGGTTGGGGTAAGGCTAAGCTCAGTGGTAGGGCTTAGCGTGCAAAGGCCCTCTGTTTGGACTCTAGCACAGCAAAAATAAATAAATAAATTTCTTTAACCTGGAAGAAATTTGGGTGATGGCTATGCAGTTTAATGTTTTCTTTTGGTAAAAGGCTACTCAATTCTCTAGCAATATAATGCAAAGTGTTACACCAGAATGGCCTTAGATTCTTATGTGACTGATAAACTGCCATCCATAAGTTCACAAACAAATGAACTGGCTCAGTCCCTCAAGCCTGGACACTTCCTAGTTAGTTGGTGTGTATTTCCCAGCTAGAGAGAACTTAACCAAGACCGTGGTTCTCAGAGTGTAGACTCTGTCCCAGCTCCTCTGAGCCAAACTCTAGCAGAAGGGTCCAAAAAGTTCTCCATAGAATCTAAGCGTAACTTTTGAAGTTGTTTTATGCTGCAGCTTTTCAGTGGAAAGCAAAACAAAGTACTTTAATCCCTACAGTCATAGAAATAATAAAGCAACTGGATTTAAATGCAGTTCACTTTAATTGAATCTTAGCATCTAGAAAGCTGAACCAGCGCAGATGTGGGACATTCTTCCCAGGATGCCAAG